TTTACATATTTACACTTCAGATTCCGTGCACTAAAAAAACAAATAAAGCAAAGAGGAAGCAGCCCTATGAGAAGAACATGAGGTTCATGTACCACCTTAATTCCAACCAGGAAAGAAGTATATTCATAATAAAACACAATCACAGTAATATTCAAAATCAATTTAAGCAAACAAGAGTGGCATAATTAAAGTCAGAGCTCGGGGCCTCTTTCCAAGAGAGTAAGATGGATGGAAATAACAACCACTACCCCCACCACAAGTATAATTAAATTAAATATGCATGCATATTGTTGAAGAATAATCACTATAATAGCCCCCAAAGAAAAATTTGTTTACTTGTAGTCAATTGAAAAAATGTATTACTGATTTTTTCCCCCAACAATGTAGCAATTGTGAAATGCACAGAAATGCAGCAAAACTAATGCCATGGTTAAAATATGAAGGTGCCAATGACAGAAAACTGGAGAGTTTCAAACAAACCTTAGAGCTACAACATCACAGCCATAATTTTCTCTTCCTCCACATGCCATCTGCCCTCACACACTTCCATTTCCTCTGAGCTGCAAGTCTCCAGAGGGTGCCAAAAAAAATGGATACACATTTTAAGAAAGGAAAAAACTGTATTAAAATTGTAATACTCAATACATACCGATAACAAAAGATGAATACAAGTCATGTGTATACATTTTTTATGGCACCCCAGGTATACGCACTCCACATTATCTACTCATGGGGAACTTCTTTCTTCTGTTTACACTAGAATTTCTTTGATTTGGGTTGGGGAGGATGGACTGAGATCCATCCGCATCTCTCACACATGATTTTAGGAACAGTGCCCTGTCCACCCAGGGCGTTCATTCTCAGGTCTACTATGGAGAATGATATTGGCACTAATGAGTGTTTCTTCTGCCATTATTGGTGAGGCAATTAGGTCTTCCTGACACTTGTGGCCACATAGCTCAGGCATGTCTGCAGGCGGCAGCAGGCCTCTGGGTAATCAATCATGTTTTTTGGCAGCGCTGTCAATCAGAAACTCACCTGAATGGCACCTATTGATGGCTCTCAGCATGCTGACACAGTCCCCGCTCCCTATCCTCTCTCAGGTTCATGGTAATGCTGACTTTGAGCCTGCTGTTTTTCATCATAGAGTGGAATTGCTTCATTTTTCTCTGCATGTGTTGATTCTTACCCCCTGCTTTATCCTTTCAACACTATCACAGAAAATACAGTATTCAACACGAATTCCCCAGAGGGCTTCCTGGCCGTGGTTTCAATAGATATTATTCTAGATTTCATTTCTTTTCCTTCCCGTTACCGTTAGACACCTCAAACTACATCCTGCCAATCCCTACGATAACCCAAAACACCGGTACTCCATCTTCGTCTGTATTTCTGACCGTATATTCGACTTCTCCTTAGTGTACTGAAAGCCTTAACGAACTATCAACAGGGAATCGAATAGTTCTCCCCACGTCAGAATGGTCCCCAATTTTATCCCCAAACTATATTTGCAGGAACTTCACATGCCGAATCTTTCGGAACCACCTCAGTTTCAAATAACCTGCTTCTCAAACCAGTGTTTGCTAGGTTTGGTTTGGAAAATCAGATCATAGCACGCTGCCAGCAGCCACTCAAAAGAGCTTATTTTGAGTAATTATTGCATTGACATCTTTTTCCTTTTGCTTGCTCAGAAAGCCATTAGCACTACAAAAAGACCTATTTCAATTAGAAACTGCAGCTTTATTTTTTTTATATAAAATACAAGGAAAACCTTGTCTGGCAAATTAGAGATGATGACCCAGGGCCACTTGGGACTTGTCAGAACCTATGCTCCACCCCCACCAGCACCATAACATAAGCTTGAGCCCCACCCTCAGTGTGCTTGCAAACCCATACATATTTACACACACAATGGCTAGCCCTTATCCATCCTCAAACTCATACTCATAGAAGCCACCTCCATGACGGCATGAGAGGCATTGAGGAATGACCCTTTTCTCTCTACTTTCCACAATTCTTGAGTTCGGGTTTTCCAGATTTCACCACTCCTTGTAAGTACCTTCCTCACTCCGTCCACTCACAAGAAGCGTCCGAGGCAGCTGGCAATCTGTTATCAGTGTTTTGGCAGCTTCCCACACAAACACAAATGGGAATATTATTGCTTTCTATGAACTGTCTCCATCAGTAAGGATGATGGTCAGCACAAAAAGCATCAGTATATACAACAGTCTTTACATGGGAAGCTGAAGGCGTTTTCTTCCAAGGATTACTGCCAGGGATATTGGAGCAACCCTATTTGTTAAGGGGGCAGCAAAAAAAACAATGGTGTTAACATAGCTAAAGAATTAAACAATAGGTCAGCTGGAAAGTAAAGCTCGCCTGTGGAAAAGGGAAAGGGAAGAGGCTGCAATAATAACTGACGCTTACGACCACAAATCATGTGCCAGACACTGTGCTAAGCACAACCATGCATTCTCTTTCATAATCCTTATTATTGCGCTACCCTGTGAGACAGGTCCTATTGTGAGACACACTTCCCAAATGAAGAAACAGGCACAGTGATACAGATCGGCCAAATAGGGAGCAGTGGAGTCAGGACTCAAACCCCAGACTGCCCCAGTTTTTAATTACTTTGTTATTCTATGTAGTCAGGCTGGACTCAGGACTCTCCAGGGGAGAGGGTTATAGCGGCCCTGGATGCTAAACTCTCTTAAACACCTTTTACTTGGACCGTATATCCACCAAATAACCTTCAGGTTATAATTTGGCCTCTCTGGTATCATGACAACAGGGAGAGTTTTGTGAGGCGTATGAGAGTGGTTTCTCCCTGTAAAATGATGAATGGGAGGTTGCTTGCCTACCTCAGCCTCCTGAACTTCCAGTCACCAAGAGTCAGGCCCTTGAGCCTGAGCACACCCCAGCTCTGTGAACTGGGGGCGCATCCTGGAAGGCTCCAGCTCCACCCGGCCCGCCTTTGTGCAAAATCTTCACCATTTCCAACCTCCAATTTTTATTTTTGTTTTCTACAGACACTAAACCTCAGTGTCCTTTTTTAGCTAAGGGAAGGTGGCAAGTGCAAATTTGTCAATGCTTTGAGAGCCTCACCCTGCCTCATTTCAACTCTACGTTCTTTTCTTCCCCTCGCCACAGAAATAAGTTTTCATTAAAACCAAAAGACTCCCCATTATCAATGCTCTTTAGAACTGGTTGACTCATATGTACCAATTCTATTAGCATCACTGCAATATCAGCTTGCCTTTGTCCAGTTTCTGGAAATAAGTAATATTTGAGCTCATCCCTTGATTGCTATGCTAACAAAACCCTGTATATACCATATATATATACATATATATATTGTTTGTATATATATAATACATTACATACAGTACCTACATATAAAATACATTTTTATCTATCTTTTATCTGAAGGAAAAGGCTCTGCCAAGCACTGAGTGTTTGCCATATCCTGACAGGTCATGCTCCAAAGGCATGGCCTGCCCACACCCGTTCTAAGGACCCATCTATGCCCTGATTCCACAGAGAAGGTCTGTGAATCAAGAGGAGCTCATCTGGACACTCACAACCACTTATCAGGACCTGATGGAAAAAGTGAGCTCAGGCCATCAGGATGCCATCTTGGCAACTTGACTGGGAAACACTGGAAGACAAGGCTGCTGAGCAACGGTGCTGAGAGCCAATGGAGGCATGCAGTTAAGCTTGGGCCAGGACAAGCCATCAGCACACTGACACCGTGAGGGGGTAAAAAGTCACAGCAGTTTAGAAAGAGTCAAGAAGCTGAATGGAACAGAGGCGTTTAGAATGGCATAGACTCATGTGGAAAAGCATGTGCCAAGCAGTCCTGGTTTTCAGGGTGATAAACGTAGTAGAGAAAGCATGAAGGATGCCTGGGGCTTGAGAGGAAGGGAAGAGAACCAAAGCATCAAATGAAATTAGAAATGAGCAAATGACTGACCCAATCAGAGCTGCGATGTGGAATTCAGGAAGGAAGGAAGGAAGGAAGGAAGGAAGGAAGGAAGGAAAGGAGGGAGGGAGGGAGGGAGGGAGGGAGGGAACACTGACACCTTCTATAACACATATAATGTCCTGAATTCTTCCCAAGGACAAACTTGCCCCACAGGACAGTCCAGTTTCTCACCTAGTCTCAACTAGAGTAAGAAAGACTTTCCTACCAGTTACCGATTTACATTTTGTTCTGATGACAAGATTTATGTGGCTGAGCACACACCAGACAAAGTAAAGACAGAGCACAATGGCCTGTAAGTTTTAGTAGTGTGAGCAGAACAAGCAGAGGCCTAACGTCTACTTCATTTTTCCAGACATGGCCTGCAGTCAACACACCACATTATTGCCTGTCGCAAACATCCTGTCACAAACATCCTGTCACTGCCACTTAACACCATGCACTATGCACAAGCCTCATTCCAATCCTGAGGTTCTCCAATTTCACCCCAGGCCTGATCCAGGATGGGGTATGAAACGCTTCAAAAACACTCCAGTTTACAGGAAGTTTCCCTTTCACATAAAGCAAACACAATTCTTTCTTATTATGTCTGCTTCCATGAGCCCTTCCACCATTCTTGCTGAATTCTCTACTTTCATTGGGGACGCTAGACAGTAAAGGAGGTTACTGAAAATTCAAGTCCAAAGCAAAATTCAAATACATTTTCTGGGCCCTGCAGAGTGTACAAACATGGTTCCTTGCCTTAGTCTAAGAGCTGCAAACACAATGGTGAAAATGTAGCATTATGGCATGTGGCCCACAGGTCTCATTCTTTTACAATTATACCTGGATGTCGAATATCAATGTTGACATTTAAAATCTACGGAGTTGCTGAGTGTTTAAAATGGATCATGTCTAGCTTGTGGAAAAGTTGAAGTGAAGAGAAGACAGGTCTGTTTAACACAGCATGTGTTTTTTGTTTTTTTTTTTTCTAACTAGCCAGAGACAAGTTGCAGGAAAGAGTTATACAGATACTTACTATTTATAACCCATGGCCACATCCACAAAATACTTTCTTCTCTGTCGATAGACATTGTCCTTAAATCCCTTAAACAGAAAAGAGATGACGTTATTTCACAGAGTGCAAAAAAAAGTAGCTGCAGAAGGCCTAAAAGAAAATCACTGCAGGGTTGATTGAGCGTTCCATTCAAATGTAAATTTTTATCCTTGTATGACCATCTTGATGACACAGGCAGAAGCGAATTGTGCTTACAGTAAAACCTCATTAAATTGGGGCTGTGCTAATTTAGAATGTGTGGGAATTCAGGCTAAAGTTTACCTTTCTGCTAAGCAGACAGAATGACTTAGCTGCGCAAATTGATATTAAGAACAATATGCTTTGGTTTTCAAGTATCATTTACATGTAATTTATCTTAATCACAAATTAGTCTTATCTTCGTCATTAAAACAGGTCTCTTTCACATGGTTATTTGGCAAGTTCACCTAAATTTAATTGCTTTGGAGAAATGATGAAGTTATTTATTAAGAGTTCTATCATTCACAATAATTATCAAATCCCCAAATTAATACGAGTAAAAGAGGTTTTGCTGTATTTTATGAGTATAGCCACACAATGCAAAATCGATTTTAAGGGATTCATGCATAGGATAGCAGGTTAGCTCCATTCCACTTTGAGTTCCTATTAATTTAGATTCAGATTCATCTTTAGCAGCTTTCAGACTTTTAGCCACCATCATAACACTTGGGAAATTAAACATCCCGTCTGTCATTCTTCAGTCAAGAGAAATCCTTCCAAGATGACTCCTTGGTTTACTCAAGAATTTCTCCCCTTGTCAGCAGAGTTTCCACTTTCCTTCCCTTCTAGTACTTTCAGATCATCAATTCTTTCCAGGGTTGTTTCTTCAAACTTCTGGAAGCCCAAAAGGAATTGTTTCAATTTAACTTTTTAGCACTGAGACCCCAAAGGAGAACCCGGAAGCAGTGGCCACTCTAGGAAAGAAGGCCAGACAGGACTGGCCGCTGGGATCCCGGGCTCTGAGAGGAGAGTGGCAACAGGCCCACAAAGGCCTAGCCTATCTCTGCTGCAGTGCAGACACTTCTGCGCAAGGTGGGCTATTCAAGAGGAAACTCCAACTCATAGAAAATCGTCCCAGCCTCTCTTCTGGCTAAAGGAGAACTGGCTTTCAGGCCAGAAGTCTTTTCAGGACTATCTGCTGGACAGAAATTAAGAACTTCCATTGCAAACAGGCTTCCTCTCGGGAATGACAAGAGAATTACTAATAAGGGGAGAGAGTGAGTACCCACAGAGCACCCAAACACACCACAGAATGAAGTATCCCATCTTAGTAGCTAGCACTTTCTTCCTTTTGCTATGCATTGGGAGTTTTTTTAACTGGGGCTCATAAGCAGGCTTGCAAAGCCTTAAAATGTGTATATACAAAATTTTGTGACCATAGTTCCCACATTCACAAATGGGCTTGTGACCTAAAAAGGGGTCTCCTGCTGTTGAGGGTATATACAGTGATGCTAGAGAGTACGAGTTTTGACACTCACTAGTAATACCAGGCAACCCAGGATGGTTAAACTGAAAAGATTCAAGCCCCGGTATTACTCAAAAAGAGAGCAGGCCATGACCAAAGGAAAAGAGTCATCTAAAAAGCACAGCATCTGTTCCCTGGCTCCTGCCAAACCGGACACCATGGTAACAGCATCACAGCCGGCTGGGCTTCCTGAAGAGTCTCAATTGTCTCTCCTCAGCAAACACCTGCACCTTTTCCAGGCATGCAAGAGAGTGATTTACTCATCATGCCTCATTAGCCTAGTGTGGCAGTGATTACACGAAAGGTGTGGACAACACC